TGGACCAACATATTTTCTAATACCCCTTTGACTAACTGCATCCTGTCTGATTTCCAACTCTACAGTATTTCTAAAAAGAAATTAAATTGAGAAAATTCATTTACTTTTTAATTAATGCAGAAAACATATGGCAAGATTTCTGATTATTACCTTTTTCTATTAAAAACTGATGTCAGCGAAAATCTGGCATGTCCACCAGTCCTGACCCACTGATCAACAAAAACAGCCATATCTTTGCCGGTAACAGTAAATATAGCTTTTGTGAAGACATTTGTAGAAATTAGCATATGATGCCATAATCCACTGCCTAAAATATAAGAATATAAACAAAAAACATAATATGTAATAAGTTAATTAACTGAATTTTACCAATTTTTTGTGTAGAAGCATTCGTAGCCAAAGCTAATTGTTTGTTAAACACTTGCAGCAGTAATTCTTGACCAATCCGATGTTCCAACATTCTAATGACTAAATGAGCCTTTTTTCTCATTGCCTAAAAAATGCATTAACAAAATGCATCCAACTTTAATAAAATGCATGTGATCATATACCTGTATATACTTTGGTGACATAGTATGCAGACTTCTGGTAGGGAAATGGTGTACATTCTGCCCATTATTTTGAGCCACTGTAGCATGGTGACTGCCTCCTCGTCCTTGGGGCCCACCTGCACCTGTTACAGGAGATGTGCCAGAGGCAGCGGCAACAGGAAGCGGTGCAGGTGCTTGGCTGGGATCCAAAACTATACCACCATACTGTTCTTCATAAGCCACAACCTAAAAGCAAGAACAATGTAAAATAATAATATATCAAAGTAATACAACAATATAATCTGTTACTTACATCCAACAATTCCTGTCTCACCCACTCTCTGTAATCATTATTTCCAAAACATTTCTTCGAGTACAACCCACATAGATATTCAGCAATTCCTTTATTGAGCCAGGTGTCAGACCAGCTCTGCATTGTAATGAAGCAGCCAAAGAATTGTTCAGCTATTGCTTGAGACATTGCTTTCCTGGTTATATAAGTTTGATCTATTATAGCAATGGAATGAAGCAAATGAGTACTCAGAATGCTCATGGTAGTGTAGGCAGCTACATCTTGAACAGTCTAAAAAAAATAAAAGGGGATTAATTTTACAATCTATAAATTAAATTAAATTCTAAAGAAACTTTACTCACCTCATCAACAAAAACTTGCTTATAACAAGGATATGGATATCTGGTAGCTAAAGTTTCCTCATAAAACTCAAAAGCTTCATGCATATATCGAACAGAGTTCTTCAATAATGGCATTAGTTGTGGTAGACAAAAGTGGGTCACTTCGTGCATATGGGGGTCCACATAAGTTTCAAAAGGTCTAGAATGAAAAAAAAGCACAAAGTTATTGATAAATCATACAATACTGATGCATCTAGTTCATACCCAACAGCTAAAGCAATATTAGGAGCACAAGCAGGAGTATTTAAAACATAATGGTAAGTCTTCCTCCTCATATCAGGCGTCATAGTAATTTCTACAAGATCACCACAAGAGACAGCTGTCATTGCTGCGTCAACAGTGAACTCAAGACTCCAAGTACAAGGCTCGGCATAAGAATCCACGCAAGGAAACCAGAGTCTTGATGAGTTTTCATGTGCATAGGTGTACATATGAGCTGCCCTCTAAAAAAACAATCATAAAAATACTGCCCGTTATATTGTGATTTTCTTTCACAAACCTCTTCCATGGTGCCTTCAGTTTCAGGCACAACAAAATGCAAGCCACCTTGAGGTTGCTCTAAAGAAAATTCTATTCCAACTCTTAAACCTCTACCTTCACCAATGAGATGGCTTGCTTCATGGGGCACATTGATAAATAATTCTCCTGCATTACAATCAGGATCTATATTTTGAGCAGCCGCTAAGTGACACTTGGAAAATACCTCCAAAGACCTCCTGGTAATAGAAAGGATATTTATCAACAATCCTACTAGTAGAAATTGATAATTATGGGTAAAAACATAGAACAACTTACGTCTTTGAATCATTTTTGCAGATATCCAAAAAGGGATCAAAATATTGAAAAGTAGCTTCACAATCGCCTAATGTGACTCTATAAATTCTACATTGCTTAGCATTTAGTTTAATGCTTCTCAAATTGTCTTTCAAAGGTACTATTGTCAATTCCACGAAGCCCTATTATAAAAATGAGTACACAAATTTTTGTAGTTTGATAAAATAAAGTGAGAATTATTTGTATTTAATATTTACAATTATACTCTTCCTCTCGAAGCTAATACCAGTCAAACTTAATATTTGATGAGCTGTAAAATAAATATTTTTAATGAATTTATATATCTATACACCTGCGAATGAAAACTTGGTAGACTACTTATAATTTAAACGGTCTGGAATTATCCACTGAACGTTCTTTCTTCATTTTTGACTAAATTAAAACTTAAATATACAAATTTAATATTAAAAAATAAATTAATTAAACATCATCATTGCAAAGTTTGCTTCTAGGTTACAAACGTCTTGTTGAATGTTGATATTAAAAGCCTTCCAGTGATGCCAATTCTGTCATGTCATAACAATGAAAATCGTTATGTATAAATGCTGCCAACACAAGAACAATATAACGATAATTTGTAAAAGAGGCAAATTTAAAATTAACAATCACAGTAAGAGACATTGAATAACATATTATTGCTAATAAAATCGATATATAATTTAACTAAAACTACTAGATGTAAGTAGCATTTTGCCTTGAGGCAAGTTGCATGAACTGATATCACTAAAAAATCTGTAAAAAAATTAATTATAATGCACAACCAAGTGCTTGTATGTCCTAAAAGCTTACGATCAATATATAAATGTGTACATCAATTTAAACAATACTAGAATAATCATAATATTAGAGCAGGTTTACAGAAATAATCGTTTATAAATATTTCACTGGCTTTCACGTGAGCACCCAAGTGTCTCTTCTCATATACTTTAAATTATTGAGCTTTATGCTTATTTAAAGTTTTTGATGCATGAAGAGATTTGCTACATGTTTCACATTGATAAGGAAATTCTCTAGAATTGATAAACTTGTGTGCATTTAAAGCATCAGATTGTACTAATGATTTATTGCATATTCCACATTTCTGAAGAAAATTTCCAGAATGATTAGTCATATGTTTTTTTAAACTATATACGAAACGAAATAGTTTGTTACATATTCCACAGTTATAAGGAAGTTCTTCAGAATGAATAAGCATGTGTTTCTCTAATCGAATCAATCGTGTGAATGTCTTATCACATATTTTGCAGATATGTTGCTGTTTTCCAGTATGAGTGAACATATGTCGTTTCAAACCTTTTGGTGAACAAAAGTTTCTGTTACATATATTGCATTTGCAAGGAAGTTCTCCAGAATGAATTGGCTGTTCTCTGTTATGAGCAATATGTTGCTGTTCTCCAGTATGAGTGTACATATGTCGTTTCAAACCTTTTGATGAATGGAAGTCTCTGTTGCATATTTTGCACTTCAAAAGAAGTTCTCCGGCATGAATTGGCAGTTCTCTGTTATGAGCAATAATATGTCGATCTAAATGGTGTCTTAAAGCAAATGCATTATCACATATTGTGCATACGAAAGGGTTTATAGGAGCCTGCATTAATTCCTGTTTGATTTCTTCCTCTACAGTTATTTTAGAATTCATAAATCTTTCCAGACATGTTTCTCCATTCTCTGAACAAGATTCCGACTTCATATCCTCTTCATCTTGAGGATCTTCTGCTGAATATTCTAGTGGTTCAATTTTAACCGAGGTAGTTTTTTCTTCTGACATTATAAGATATTTTACCTGATTATAACAGAGAAAACGGTTGTGTACTAATTAATCATGTGTTTTAATCAATGATATTAAATTGAACTAATTTAAGGTGATACTTGCAGCATAAGGAATTTTTCCCGTCGTAAAATTTTAGAAAGAAATGTTTTGATATGGTTTTGATAATCATCTTCAAGCTTATAATCCCAACAGGAATATTTTTATAAATTACTTTTATTTTTATAAATTACTCTATATATTATATGTATAATGTCTATTTTAATATGACTATGCCCGCTCCATTGCACGAATTCGTACGGCGAATCTGTTCGCAAAGTGCGCAGACAGAAATTTTGCAAGCAAAAGCAAACCACGCGCATGTCAAAAACAGGATTTGCCGTGCGCGTTCGTGCAGTGGAGACGGGCCATAAGTCAATCTAAATCGATTTGTCGACACAAAAAATAGATTGTTAAATTTAAAGTTGAAAACCAACTGATTTGTTAATGCGTTGAAAGCATATTATTATCAAATGGTAATATTTTCAACCTTTACGAATGTAATATATAATCTAAATAATCAATATTTTAAATAAAATTATTCATTGCATTTTGTTTTATTTAATACTCAACTAGTTTAAGTTTGATTCACATCTATCTTTACTAATAATAACATGAAATAATAAATAATTAATAAAATATACTATATATTGTGTAAGCTACGATGGAAAACCTATATTCAAGAATTATCGCTTTTTGATAGGTAACGATGTTTGGGCTGAATGAATATACAAAACCGCCAGAGATCATAATTGCTTACAACTTTTTTTTTCAAAAATACCACTAATGTTATATTTTGTTAGTTGCTATAAATATTCTATTATAACTATATAATATTACCATCATTTAATGATGAAGCTGTAGATTTACAGTTTTTCAATTTGAAATCTACAGTTTTCTACAGTTTTTTTCTGGCCTATCTACAGTTTTTCTCTATGGTGGACCTGGCAACACTGAACTTGTCTTCTTTTATCTATGGATTTTGCACTCTTAGCAAGTGTCAAATTTCCGTCAAATTCTTAGCTTCTCAAATAATAATGTAAAAGTTGAAATTTTTTATCACATTCAGAAAAATTATTGATAAAACTAGACTATTATTTAGTACAAAACTATTTTTTTTGTGACAATATTTAAAAATGTCGGAGGAAACAATTACGTCTATGAATGATCAGGCAGTTAAAATTGAACCACCAGAATATTCACCAGAAGACATTAAACTCGAAATAGAGGTTGATTTTGATGATTCCGACGTTGTTGTTAAATCTGAATTGTGTGCTGAAGATGATGATACGTGTTTAGAAAGATTTATGAATTCCGAAGTGACAATTGAAGAAGAAGTCAAACAGGAGTTAGTTGAGACATCAACTTATGAATGTGACCTTTGCAATAGATCATTTGCAGAATCAAATCATTTAAAAGAGCATATGGCCGATCATATTCCTAACAAAATCAAAGAATGTCCTTTCAAATGCAAAATCTGTCATAAGACTTTCAGTCAATTAGGTAGTCTGAAAAGGCACATGCTTATTCACAGAGGTGAGCGACCCCACGAATGCAGTATATGCAATAAGACATTCACACTATTATGTAATCTGAAAAGTCACCTGCTTATTCACAGAGGTGAGCGACCCTATCGATGCAGTATATGCAATAAGACTTTCACACTATTATCCAATCTGAAAAGTCACATGCTGATACACATTGGAGCACGTCCTCATGAATGCAATGTATGCAAAAAGGCATTCATGCGAGCAGGTGATCTGAAGAAACACATGCTCATTCATAATGGAGTACGCCCCCATGCATGCAATATATGCAAAAAGAAATTTACACAATCAGGTAATCTGAAAAGTCACATGCTGATACACAGTGGAGTACGTCCCTATGAATGCAATATATGCAATAAGGCATTCACAGAAAGAGGTAGTCTGAAACGTCACATGATCGTTCACACTGGAGTTCACCAAAAAAAACATTCACAGAAAGAGGTCATATGAAAAAACACACGCTGATACATAAATGAGAGCCTTCATATAAATGTGAAGTATGTAATAAGGAATTTACTTGAAGAGACACATGGCATTTCACAGTCAGAAGCGTGGTGAAGATCAATGAAACATAAGCATTATTTGTTCACTTAAATTCAAATATTGTGAAATTTTTTTGCATGTAGTAATAAATGTATAAATTGTATGAAATATACAGTAAATACTACATTACTTTGGTCCCATTACATGGACTGTAGAATGAAAGTAAAAGTTTAGGTATTTGTTTTATTTTCAATATAGCAATGTGTAGTTATTGTTTCATGATTTTATAAAGAATTTTATTACCTTTTTATTGATATATAAAAATATATATGTCTTCTAACAAAGTTGGTAACATTATGTGGACTGTAAAATTAAAGTCGAAGTTTGAGTATTTGTTTTATTGAAGTAAAACTTCTTTAGGCGCGACTAGGGTGTAAATCTGTACAAATGCAACGGAAATAGCGTTACGCCTGAACTGTACGCCATTCGCTTTCGATGAAATCATTTTAATGCGGGTCGATTGTGGTTAGTCGTCGTGTATGTGAATAGAGATTCTGTCGTTGTATGCGTATAAACGGTTTAAAGTTACATCGTAGTACAAATCTTGATTTAATGAAAAATGTCTGAATCAGAAAAATATTTTACCCTGTTTCTTGAAAATAATCAAACAAATTAACCCTTTCCACTCGGATGCCGACGCTCCGGCGGCAAAATTCATGTAAACCTCGGAATTCGCGAGTGGAAAAGGTTAAACATTTGTTCCATGTACTTTGACGTAAGTTTATCGATTAGAAATTATTTCTATATTATTCGTAGTTTCTATGAAACTTTAAAGTTATTAAAATGGAAAATATTTTTTAGGCAAGACAGATATTACAGCTGATCAAAACATGAGATTATATAGCCAACGAAAAAGTAAAAAACTAGTTGGTTTGGTATTTGGCCTTGAGGCAAGTTACATGAACTTCCCGATATGTGTAAATAATCGACTTAATCAAAAAAAAATGTGTAAATAATATACTTCATCAATCCTACTTTAAAAAAACGATAATAATTTTAGCAAAGTTTGACGAATTTTTAATATTAAACTACTTGTCGTAAGGCCGTAATATTTCAGTAAGTTCTGTATGACCATGATATATATCACCAAAGAAAGTTTCACAAAAATCGGCTTAAATTTCGTTTTCAGCAATTAATTACAAGAAAACGGCTCGGTAGATTTTTACCTAAAACTAATCAGTATCATTTCCAACTAATATCTTTCGAACAGTTTTCGATTTTTTAAAATCTATTAGGTAGAATGAGCTCAAATGTGGACGAAATGTTTACCACTTTTTTCCAAATTACAAAGAAACGGCTTGGCAGAGCGTATCGCAGAACTGATAAACGCTAGTCCTCATCGAAATACATCGAATGGCTTTTAAATTTTCAAAATCGGTCCAGTCGTTTTTGAGAAAACGTCGATTTACGGCAAAAAATCTGTTCACATACACGCACACACACACATCCATTTAGTTTCTGATGTATGCCCCTTAAAAATGTTCAGAAACCTTCAAAACGTCGAGAAATGCAAAAATTTTCATTTTCGATTTCCGGCCCATTACTATAACTTACCCTACGGGAAGTTAAAAATACATTACATCACTAAAATTTTCAATGTGACTCCCAGGAATAATAAGTTTGATTAGAAAATGAATTACTCTATTTCATAGAAAATGATTCGCAAATTTATAAAACCAGATCAGAATCAATCCTTAATATGAATTATCTTGACATTTTATCTGGTTAAAAATTTTGACATTCTAAAAAAGTTGTCGCCCCTTATGGGTTAATTCAGCACTGGTCTTGCCCATAGAAATAATTTCTAAAATATATAGTAACCACGTATGTATGTACGCAAGTGTTCTGTGTATATATATATATATATATATATATATATATATATATATAATATATATATATATACAGTGGCGGCGCTAGACCATTCGTAGGCGTCGGCGAAATTCGTTTGCGAGGCCCCCCTTTTTTCAATCAAAGTTGACTAATAATGCGTGGCATCGTGCCTAAAGGCAAGCTGCTGAAACTTTTCCTGCTGCAATTTAAATTCTTTAAAAGTTTTAACGATTTTAATCAATTGTTTTTTGAACTTTTCAAATTGGTTGATTCATATTCACGAAATCGTCACCGAAAATTTGTATCCGCGCATATATACATATATACACACACACATACATCCATTTTTCTTAAGGTATGCCAAAATGTTTAGAAACCTTCGTAACGAAAAGATGTATGAAAATTTTCATTCTCAATTTTTTGCGGTTACTATAACTTACCCTACGGGAAGTTAAAAATTACACAAGTTAAAAAAAACAAATTCTTCGGCCAAAATAGTTCGTTCTTCAGATATTAGAAAAACACTGAAATCAAATAACTATTCCGAAGAAGTTTCTTTTTTGCCAAATCATTCGATTAGCTAATTTTATGAATTCTCGACCGTTCAAGTCATTCGGAATGAAAATGATAGGAAACCACCGACCTAATCAGTAACTTATTAGGCAAAATTTTGCAATCTACAATTGATTAATTAGAAAAATCTACAATCATATGATTTGAGTGCACAAATCCGCACATAGAACATACACATGATATTACCTGAAAGCTCGGCCCATTATTCCACAATTTAATGAATTTTTATAATTAATCAATTATCGTAGTTCCATAAAATTTGTTAGTTTAGACTGTAATTGTTATCTCTATATGATTTTTTTCTTTAAAAATAGATTTTTACAAATCTCTTAACCCTTATGAAAGAAAAAAAATCGCGGCCGTTCATCTCTACTACTACTACTTCTCATTTATAGTGTTGACAGACATTATTAGATAGTGTTCATTAGATATAAGAGAGTAAAATTATAGTGCCCTTGGGGGGCACTACCATAGATAAACAAGTATAACTACCCACTAACAAATGTCAGTGATCGCTTGCATGATTCGCGCTTACGACGCTAGTTAGCGCAGATGTCGCGAGTATCCACTCCCGTCATGCGTAAGTCGAACGCTATGATGGATACGAGCAATTCCAAGCCCTCCCGTAAACCCCTTCCCTATACTGTTCCGGTAAATCCCGTAAGTCTCCATTACGTTCGTAGTTCGTTCTGATATAATTTTCGATTAGTTGGTGAAGTTTGAAGAATTTTCTTATAAAGTTACAAAAGTGCAGTGAGGGTGTTAAAAATGACTTGTCACGTTCCTGGTTGCTTAGAAAATAAGAAAACCGTGAGATTACATGGTTTTCCAACAAGGAATGACAAGGTATGTAAAATATAATATTGTGTTTCTTCAATAGGTTATAAATTAAAATGCAAAATATTATAGATGTATGAGATTTGGATTAGGCGAGTGAATAATCCAAAATTGGATGATGTGGAGATTGAAAAAATGCGAATAAGTCGATTTGTTTGCGACAATCATTTTGCAGATTGTTGTAAAACACAGCCACAAAAGAAAAATATGACAAATCTTAAAATTAACGCTTTGCCAACGTTAAATATGCCTGGTTAGTATTGCAAGGAATTTAATGTTATATAATATGCAAATGTATATATTTTGTTAACAATTTGTCAGCTATTATTGTCTATTATTCAGGATTTCATGGAGACCCATACGACGAAGAAAATTGCCTTTTGGATAGAGCAACGTTTCGTAAGTATTTTCAATAAACAAAACAAAGTTCAATATACAGTAAAATCATATATTTTTCATAATTTTAAGAGCTTGGTATTAATATGAAAACAATTAAAGGGAAAATTGTTAATTATCGATTATTGGGAGAACATTGTTTGAGCACAAATAACATTTCCACCCAGGGGGAAAGTTATACTTTGGAAAGCTTGCCACAAAATATCAATAAGGAATGTTCTGCAAGTTTTGATAAAGTTGTAGTAAATGAAGAATTTGTGTCCAATACAATGGAAAATCAGGGACATGTCACGCCAACACGTAATACAGGTGAATAAATATAATAAATATCATCACTATTCAATAGTCTCTCCATTTAAAAATAATGCTAAATCATGTTTATTTTCAGTGAAGCGAGTGTCCTGTCTGACACCAAAGGCAAAAAAATTATACCTATTATCAAAAAAATTGAAAAAGGACATGCTCAGAATACAAAAAAATTGTAAGTCATACAAGGCCAGGCTACGTCAAAGTGTGATGTATGCGAAACAATTTTCCCACATTCCTAAAACCTTGAATGAACGAGCACGTCAATTCATAACATGTCAGCTTAGAGAACACTCTAAAAAAGTTCAAGGAAGGAGATTCACTACAGATGAAAAAGTACTTGCTTTGTCTTTACTCAAGAAAAGTCCAAAAGCTTATAGATTCTGGAGACATATATTTATTTTGCCTTCAATAACATCTTTGCGAAAGTTACTTACAAAAGTTCCAATGCATAGTGGCATTAACGAAAGCATTTTTAAAACATTGCAATCATCATTATCTCATCTGAGTGATGATAAAGACAATTATTGCATTGTTATGTTTGATGAAATTTCACTTTCAACTTTTCTCACATATGACTGCACAAAAGATTATATTGTAGGTTTTGAAGAGCTTGCTAATGGTAGAATTGAAGCATTTGCTGACCACGCACTGGTGTTTATGATTAAGGGTGTAAAGAACAAACGGAAATGGCCAGTTGCTTTTTATTTTTCTGATGGTGGTGTGAATGCTTTGAATTTGAAATGCTGCATTGAAGAAGTAGTAAAAAAGTTACTTAGTATTAATTTAAACATTGTGGCAACAGTTTGCGATCAATACCCTGCAAATCGCAAAGCTGTTAGCATGCTTATAAATGAAACTAATAAACGTTATGGTAGAAATAATGATGATAATAGATTAGAATTCGAAATAAACGGGCATGCAATAGTTCCTTTGTTTGATCCTCCTCATATGTTGAAGTGTATGAGGAATAACTTTGCAAAATGTAATGTTAAATTTACCAGCACAAAGGGGGTACAACTCGAAGCTGCTTGGAGTGATATTCTGAGTTTTTATGAATATGACTCTAAGTTAAGCATATATCGATGTTGTCCCACTTTAACCGCTCAACATATTTATCAAAAATGTTGGAAAGTCATGAAGGTATCATTAGCGGCACAAGTGTTCTCAAAGCGTGTAGCGATTGGACTTCAAAATTCATATTTTACCAGGGTAGATGCTTCGGCAACTACCTATGGCACTAGTGAATTTTTGAAGTTCATGGACTGCTTGTTTGACAGCGTTAACGGAGTATCAATAAGTCCAAAAACGGGTAACTATCTCCGATGCGCTATAACAAATGAATCAGAACATTTAAAATTTTGGATAGATGCGGAGCAAGTATTGAATTCTTTGTATTTTGTTAGAAAGAAGGGGTCTGCTACATCAGAAACAAAACCACCATGCGTCAAAAATTGGATAGATACTCTTAAGCGTTTACGATATATTTGGTCAAAATTAAATAAGGCAGGGTTTGATCATTTATGTTTAAGATATTTCAACCAGGATCCCCTGGAAAATTTTTTTAGTAGTGTCAGAAGCCAGGGCGGTTGTAACACTAATTTGAATTGCTTTAATTTTATTGCAGCCTTCAAAACCTTAATAATTAATAATTTGTCATCATATCATTCACCATCTGCAAATTGTGAAGATGATGATAATACTGGCATACTCGGCCCCTTTAAAACATTTTTAATTGATGATAAAGACCCAGAAGATATTGCAGCTCTTGATCAGGAAACAATTATTCCTGATTTTTTTCCTTTCGGAGATTTGAATGCGTACGAGGAAACAGCAAACGCATATGTTGCTGGTTTTTATGCCAAAAAATTAATGAAGTTAGTTAAAAAATGCTCGACATGTACATCTGACATCTTATCAGAACCCATCAATGATGATAAGGCGTCTTACATTAAATCAAGAGATTACACTAGAAAATCTCTTCTCGTACCAGGGAAGGAATTTTATGATTTGTTCTGTAAATGCAGCAACGTAGTCGATTTTTTTATGCAAGATGTTTGTATCGAAAACAGTCTCAAAGTCAAACTTCGAAATATGCTTTACAAGTATGTTTTTTATGATTTCAAATTCACCTGTTTAGTTCATGATTTGAAAAAAATATTTTGCAATTCCTTTCTTACTTTTTTTATAAGGTTTTGGTGTAAGTCTGTAGGTAGGCACCTAACTGGCAAATATATTCATTGCAATATTAATGATCGAGTAAAACGAAAGGCTCTAATAAAATGTAGGAAGAATCGTGTTCTTAAAAGAGTCCGTAATAAACAGAAAAAGCCAAATTCAACTTGAATGTGATGATGCCACATGGTCATTATATTTTACAGTGAAATAATGTTATGTGTATTTTCGATGGTAAACTGTATATAGAAACTTTTAAGTTTATTGAATTATTTGCTTCTTTTTTATTTTATGTATTAAGGTTTTTGTGATATTGTGATTTTATGCTTATTGAATTATTTGTTACTTTTTTTTTTCATGTATTATGGTTTTTGTGATATTGTTTATATGTCAAATAACTTATGTATAAACATGTGTATTTTCTGTATAATTAATAAATTGTATACATTCTTCTAACTGAGTTTTATATTCATATATTAAGTTTTTATATAGTAGTTATTGAGCATTAAAAAAAACGTTAATAATTCAAAAAAGAAAATATGTCAAGAAAGCATCTATCGGCATGTACATAAATCAAAGTTATTTAGTATTTAAACCTTTTGCAAAAAGTTCTGAAACCTGCTATGAACACTAGCGCCTCTAGCGCCGTAATGTACTATTATTTTGTTGACTACGGAATATCCCGCAAGTTTTCTATCTAATATGATAGTGCCTTTATACTTGTTTATCTATGGTGCCTGTAAACCACTAATTATTTTCTTCACTTGCACATCAGTATGAAAAAAACTAAAGAAAAATGAAAAACTAAATTTTAAATCATTAAATTTTTTCTGGGGCCTCTTGCGAGGCCCCAAGAACGCGAGGCCGTCGGCGATCGCCGACACCGCCGACACCGCCGACGCCTAGCGCCGCTACTGTATATATATATATATGTATAATAGTAAAAAGTAAAAATATATAGATGTCTTAAAATGTAAGTCTGTTACATAAAATTTAGATTTTATTTTTGTTATAATTGCTGTGATCTCTCATGCCAGTACAATTGTCTGACTGAGATACAGTATGTACGAATTATATCAAATAAATAAATAAATTAAAAAAAAATACACAAATACAAATTACTTCAATAAGCTTACGTTTCTTACACGGCACAGATTTTTCATTTGTTTTATTATTTTCATACAATTAAAGCAATCATACTCACGCGACACGACGACCAATCGCAATCGACCCGTATAGAAATGATATCACCGAGAGCGAATGACGAATCATTGGCATTCGAGCGTAACGCACTTCCGTTGCATTTTCACAGATTTACTCCCTAGTTTCGCCTAAAAAGTTTTATCTTAAAATATATTAAGGAACAAATTAAATATTGCAATACAGCCCCTTTAAATCATTCTTATATTTTGCTTTGTAAAGTTAATAATAATAGATATTGTAGAATTTTACAAAAATACTAGGGGGTTTTCAATAAAACAAAAATAAATAGAATTTGTACTATGTATTTATATTATTAAACACTTACATACAATACACTGATTATGAGTAACAAACAAAGTTGTGACTTAAATATATACATGTTAAATAAATTGCAATTAATATGCGGTATCAATATAAGTTGTGTAATAGATAAGGTGGGACAGTTTCCAGACTTATTCAACTAATTTGTTGACTTTTTAATTACAGTTTGTTCTCTAGTATGTCCTCTTTCATGTCGCATTAATGCAGGTTTTGTTTTGAATGTTTTATTGCATGTCTTACATTCATAAGGTCTTTCTTCAGTATGCACTGATGAATGTAATTTTAAAATATTTACCCGTGTGAATCTTTTATTACATATTTTGCACTCATGAGGCCGTTCTCCAGTATGAACTGATAAATGTCTTTTTAAATGACTTAACCGTGAAAATGTTTTATTACATATTTTGCACTCATAAGAGCGTTCTCCAGAATGGACCGCTTTATGTTGTTTTAAAATTTTTTTCATTTTGAATGTTTTATTACATATATCACATGCGTAAGGTCGTTCTTCAGCATGCACTGATAAATGCTGTCTTAAATTCCTTGATTGTGAAAATGTTTTTTTGCATATCTTGCACTCATGAGACCGTTCTCCAGTGTGGACCACTTTATGTTTAATTAAGTTTTCTTTTGTTTTGAATTTTCTATTGCATATTTCACAATCATAAGCGCGTTCTTCAGTATGCACTGATAAATGCTTTCTTAAATTACCTGCCTGTGAAAATCTTTTATTGCATATTTTGCACTCATGAGGGCGTTCCCCAGTGTGAATCATTTCATGTTTTTGTAAGTTTTGTTTTGCTGTGAATGTTTTATTGCATGATTCACATTTATATGGTTTCAAGTTATTAGTTTTTGCTGAAACTCCTTCAAATGATTTGTTTGTGCTATCGACTAAATTACATGAATTATTGACCTCTTCATCGCATATATAAGAACTTTCATATGAAACTGTTTTGTTTGTGTTAGTCATATCATGTTGGTTATCAATCGTTTCTTGTTTTATTTCCTCGTCAATTGTAACCTCAGATTTTAAAAATTGGTGCAGACATATATCATCATCCATATACAATTCTAATGTATTTTCACAATCATCGAATTCCTGTTTCACTTGAGGATAATCATCGAACGGTTCAATTTTAATTGTTTTGTTAAAATCTGTTTCTTCAGACATGTTTGAAGTTTGTAGGTTATAATAAACAAACTGGTGATGAGTTCTTAAAAATTGAGAAGTCTAAGTGTATAATAATATATGCGTTTCGATATTTACTAATTCGTTTATTGTTTAATATGATATAATGCTAACACTGACCTTTTTACTAAGTTTATCTTCGAATTTTAACTTTAATAATTCTATAAACCACTTTGATACTTGTTTTCTGTTTTCATTTCATGAACAAGTGACCAGGTTGGACAACATTGAGCACATTTTAAATGCGAGTTTTTCGGCCGCAAAATTTGAAATTAAAATTATTATTAATTTCAACAAAAAATGTAAAACCTCAATATACAAAAATATTTGAGGGGAAGACAAATATATATATATATATATATATATATATATATATATATATAAAGAATAATTAATAATGAAAAATTTAATAATAAATATAGGGGCCAATTCTGTGATATGTTATCCTTCTTTCTTGTTATTAAAAACTTATCTTTATACCATCAACACAATATTTTATCAAGAAAATATTTCTTGAATCATTCCAATCGGATAATCTGTACTCTCAAAAACTGCATTTTTGCACCCTTTGCGCTCTGTACCTCCGAAAATTAAAAATTGCAATCGAACAAACACATGCATACATACTTTTTTCTAATGATAAAAATTTCATTTACATGAAAAATATGCCAATTGATATTCAAAAATAATCATTGGACATAAGCATACGAAATTGTCAGTTAAGGATTCAGTTTTATTCTATACAATTTTATTTAAGAGAAAAAATATTTTTATATACGAACAGAGAAATGATCACTAAATAACAATTAATATTATGTTAGTTCGCCATGGGTTTATTTAATATTTAAAATAAAATTGTACTTGTATGTACGATTCCTCTTGACAAAGTTTTAAAAAATGAATAGAGCTTTAATATTTCTTCAAAAAAGCTTATAAATTTGATAATTTTTATTTAAACATATGATACATCAATAAAATTTTCAATGTGACTCCCAAGAATAATGAGTTTGATTAGAAAATGATCCGCAAATTTATAAAACCAGATCAGAATCAATCCATAAAATGAACTGGCCTTCTTGTCTATGAAAATAATTTCTAAAAATATATATTAACCACAAATAATAAAGATATTATTTCAATAAACTTACATTTCTTACACGGCACAGATTTTTCATTTGTTTAATTATTTACTGAAGACGGGATAAATTATTCTACCGATTCAGACATGTTTTATTAAATCAAGATTTCTACTAGAACCAGGGCCGGATTAAAAAGTTTGGGGGCATTGCACTCATTACGACGAATCATTGGCACTCGACTCGGCCGTAACGTCTTCCATTGCATTTGCACAGATTTACACCCTAGTAGCGCCTAAAGGAGTTTTACTAAGAATATTGAAGAATTGAAGAACAAAAATAGTAATGTTTTGAACAAAACAGAAATAAATAGCATTTGTACTATGTATTTATATTAGTAAATAATTACATACAAGACTAGTGGTTAGGAGTAACAACCATAGTTGTAACTGAAATATATATTAAATAAATTGCATTTAATATCCTGTGTATCAATATAAGTTGAGCGATTGATAAGGATTATAAGGCCGGACAGTTTCTAGGCTAATTTATCAGTTTTGTTGGCAGTTTTTTTACAGTTTGTTCTCAAGTATGTCCTCTTTCATGTCGCATTAATATATCTTTTGTTTTGTATCTTTTATTGCATATATCACATGGATAAGGTCGTTCTTCAGTATGCACTGATAAATGCTGTCTTAAACTACTTGACTGTGAAAATGTTTTATTGCATATATTACACTCATAAGGCCGTTCCCCAGTATGTACTATTTTATGTTGAGTTAATGTTTGTTTTGTTTTCAATTTTTTATTGCATATTTCACATTCATAAGCGCGTTCTTCAGTATGCACTGATGAATGCTTTCTTAAACTAACTATCAGTGCAAATCTTTTATTGCATATTTTGCACTCATGAGGCCGTTCTCCAGTATGGATCATTTCATGTAGGATTAAGCTATTTTTTGCTGTGAATGTTTTATTGCATATTTCGCACACATAAGTACGTTCTCCAGTATGAACTGATAAATGCTGTCTTAAATTACTTAACTGTGAAAATTTTTTATTGCATATTTTGCACTCATAAGAGCGTTCTCCAGAATGGACCGCTTTATGTTGTTTTAAAATTTTTTTCATTTTGAATGTTTTATTACATATATCACATGCGTAAAGTCGTTCTTCAGTATGCACTGATAAATGCTGTCTTAAATTACTTAACTGTGAAAATCTTTTATTGCATATTTTGCACTCATGAGGCCGTTCTCCAGTATGAACTGATAAGTGCTGTCTTAAAGTACTTGACTGCGAAAATGTTTTATTGCATATTTTACACTCATAAGGCCGTTCTCCAGTATGGATCCTTTCATGTTGTTTCAAGTTACGTTTGGATACAAATATTTTACTGCATGATTTACATTTGTATTTAAACTTACTAGTTGTCTTATCTTTTCCTGAAACTTTTTCTAATGTTTTGTTTGTACTATCGACTATCGTACTTGATTCACTGATCTCGTCGTTACATACAGAAGAATTTTCATCTAAAACTGTTTTATTTATACTAGTCACATCATGTTGGTCATCAGTCGTCTCTTGTTTTATTTCCTCATCAATTGTAACCTCAGATTTTAGAAACTGCTGCAGACATATATCATCATCCATATACAAATCTAATGTATTTTCATAATCATCGAATTCCTGTTTAACTTGAAGATAATCATCGATCGGTTCGGTTTTAATTGTTTTGTTTGAATTTGTTTCTTCAGACATGTTTGAAGTTTGTAGGTTATAATAAATAAACTGGTGATGAGTTCTTAAAAATTGAGAAGTCTAAGTGTATAATAATATATGCGTTTCGATATTTACTGATTCGTTTATTGTTTAATATGATATAATGCAAACACTGACCTTTTTACTAAATTTATCTTTAATAATTCCATAAACCACTTTGATATTTCTTCTCCATTTTGTTTTCATGAACAAGTCATCAGGTTGGACAACATTGAGCACATTTTAAATGCGAGTTTTTCGGCGGCAAAATTTGAAATCTTCCTGTTTGTATCACTCCTGTGATTATGGGAGATTAGTTGGTAGCTGGATCTGAGCGGTTGATAAGATAAAACACTAGTTCTTGGTTGATCTTGATATTTTATTGTTTACTATTTTTACAATTAAATAATTTGTTTGATAACCTTTTGGTTATCAATAATCAGAGACTACATTTTTAAATAAAGATCTAAACAGTAAGCCTGACTTGACTCCTGATTTCTGACTTCTCCTGACTTCTGACTTGACTTCTGATTTCTGACTGCTTAACTAAATCTTAACTACTTCTTATATACTAAATAATTGAATACAAAACGTGATTCCAAAATCTAACAGCAAGGACTTCGGATAACCTTCAAATAGCACGTAGTGCTTTAATAAAAACAATAAATAATAAATTATATTTGTGATTACAGAATAATATATATATATTTTGTAGAGTTTCGAACAAGAATCCAAAAATAATACAAAATAAAAAAACAAGAAAAGTTTTTGATAAACAATTTCTTTATTTAATTATTTGTTTACTGTCAACGTTTCGGAACTAGGTACGTTCCATCTTCAGGACATCTGTCAAGAAACATGATCTTGATGAGATTTAAGCAAACAATATGTTTAGGAATAGAAAATAGATTTTTCTTAAATAATAAATTAATTGTAACAAATAATAATGTACAGAAATATGATAATATGATCAAAATGAAAATGATAAAAATAAATGAGTGGATTATCAGAACAGGATATTAAAAATGATAGAAATTTTATGGAAAAATTATTTTAAGAAAGGGTTAATGATAAATTGAATTAATTACATGTATGTTTGAATATACGTTAGCACTTTTTCACTAAACAAGAATTTTTGACAAAAAATGAATTTGTGAGTTATTTTTCCGCCGAGTAGTTAACTTTTGTAAATCAAAATTACTAAAAGTGTTGTCTTTTTTTTAAATTATTATTTGAAAACAAATAATATTGTATTCGATGTTATACTATTGGCATTTGGAAACGAACTAACTGTATTTGGTGGTTCATATGTAACACGTGTAAACACTTGAAACGAGAACTGTGAGATTGTATGTGTGTGTTTTTTCATGTTAGGGTGTAAATACCTAAATTATTGAACTTAAAAGGAAGTCGATATTAATTGTTTGTCAAAAAGTGTAAAAAATTTAAATATGAATCATGTAATAGGTTGTGACCTGATCTAATGTTGACACTGTTAGAAACATTCATGAGAATAAGACAACTCTCCGCGAATAATCTCCTAAAGATGCAACTTTCATGATATAAAATCTTTGGAGTGAAATTAAATGAATGGGCGTTTTCTATAGAGTGTTGTACTAGGGTACTTTTGAAATTTTTTTGTTTATGGTGGACCACACTTAGTTCATGTTGTCTCATTCTCTTGTGTACATATTGCGAGGTTTGTCCAATATGTTGAAAAGCACAGTCATTACAAGAAACAGAATATACTACATTAGTATTGAAATTGGATGGGGTAGGGGATTTAATGTTCGTAAAGAATTGGTTGAAGGAGTGTAAGGATGAGCCTGATACTAAAATGTTTTCTTCTAACAAAATTTTGGCAAAATAATAATATAAATCTTCAACGTATGGTATGCTGCAGTAAATAAGATTGGTGTTTTTGATGTTGGTACTGGTATTGGGAGAATTAATTTGTGTTTTTAAAAAAGTTCGTCTTTTTTGAATAACTGAATGAATGAGATTTTTTGGGTAACCATTTTCAATTAGAGTTATTTTTACTAGGGATAAATTTTGTGGATGGAAAGTTTGGTGAGACAACAAAATAGCATGGTCTGTAAGGGAAATAATAGTGTTTATCTTATAGTTTCTGGGACAGTATGAGGAATAGTGTAAGTATCTACCCGACCATGTAGTTTTTCTATACCAATTTGTTCTAATAAAGTTATTAGTGTTGTAAACGGATACATATATATATATATATATATATATATATATTAAATATAAATATATATATATATTAAAATTTTAATAATTTTGATGTAGAGATATGTGAGAATCTGTCTTCAAGGCAATACATCAATTAAAAACTTGTATAAACTTATAACATTCTTATTGTTTCCATACGTTTCGACACATTGTTTTGTGTCATCTTCAGTGGACTCTATAGAGACTCTATATAAACTATAGTTTGAAAGCACAGATAGAAATTATTAATTAAAGCTAATTTATAAGAAAGTGGTACGGTGTGAAAACTTACATGTAATTGTAGTAATTCTAATTATTTCATAATTATAATTGTTCACAATGCACAATAAAAAAAATTCTTGTAATTTTAAATCAGAATAAATCAGAACAAATATATAAAAAATTTTAAAACGAATTTTTTATTGTATAGTAGGTACATCTCGCAATTCCGTATTCCGATGCAAGAGTGAAGCCTAAATGTGCACCAATGTGCGCATCCAGAGTCGGTCCTGCCTTGCATGCGATCGGAAATGAAATTTATAATATATATATATATTTTTAATTGTTTATAATAAACAATCTAACTTAACTATGGATACGGAGACACAAAAAGCATATTCAATTTGCAATGTGATACAGTAGAAACAATTAACCGATTTTTAACCCTACAAGTTAGTAAATTATTGTTTTGCTTATTGTTAATGTACTTATTACATTTTTTCTTCGTTTGAAGTTAACGTAAAATCGAAAAAAAATTATCTAGTGTTCATCCCCTAAGCGCAAACCTACGAAAGTTTAAATTAATTATTGGGCATTATTGATGAAAAATTGCGAGCTGATTTATTTGAAACGGTACTTATTAAAGAAATATATACTAATTATAATAGAAGAAATGAAAAATGGGGAGCCAGTGCTTAGAAAATGGTTTGTTTATTCCGAGAAATTGAATTGTAACTTTTGTTTTTGTTGCAAATGTTTCGCATCTGTTGAACTTTGAATGTTGAAGATGTGCGTGGAACAAATATGAAAAATTTACTTTTGAACAAAAATCTTAAGGCTTGTTTATACCTAGTGGTATCCATACTCTAAATTTAATAATTATTAACTACACAGAAATAATACATATCAAATAAAATAATTTTTTTTTTCAATATTGTACAAGAAATGTGTAATTTCTTTGCATTTTTTACTGATTTTTGAACAATACTTCTAAAATACGTTAAAAATTTAACTTTAAAACAATAAGCTGATACGACACTAATAAATGTGTGCATCACGAGTGTTACCATATTACTAATAAACATTATACAAAATTTTTATATGGTGTATTTATTTTTACTCAACTTAAATTTGCTACAATATAATTGCAAATAAGTTTTACTTCAATCGCGTGTGATTCTTACGCGCACTCTTTTTTTTATATTTCAAAATATTTTTGAAATTTTTTGCAGCGCGATTGCTTTGAAAAAAGTTCATAATTTTCAAAAAATGTCAGTATACATATAAAAAACGTTTCTTAAAAGGCAATTTTTTCATTTTTCTAAAAATCTTGAAGCTCTTTATAAAATGTAATTTTTAGTACGAGAAGTTCCAGGAATTTGTAGTAATTAATGGAATAATGCCATGCGTCACTAGTTTAATTTTTTTGAACTAGGCGCTATAAGCTTTGAAGTGCACAAATTTGTCGTCCTAAGAGGGCTCGAGATCTGAAGAACATATTTTTCTTTAACTTTCAGCTAGTTTTAAACTTTATATTAGCCAGATTGCCAAATTTGATAATAACTTATTAACCAATTTGATAATTTACGTTCGGAGAGGGAGGCAAAGCAAAGTAATAAGTTTTAATAATCGGCTATTTGAATCCAAATTTTGCATTGCAATCGCATTGTGTTTTGTTAATTATATTTCTTGGAATAAAAAATGTTATTAAAAAAAATTAGGTAATTACATTTTATAACATTTTTTTCTCACTATCCAAATTTTGCCGCCCCCGAAAATCTGCGCCCTGGGCAGTAGCCCCGACTGCCCCTACTGTAAATCCAGCACTGGAAATATATATGAAAAAATTATATGATTTGCACATGCATCCTGTGCTCACTTAAACTAAACAATAATCATAATATATTTAACGAATTTTTAACATTATTTACAAATTACATTCAAATCACCCAAAGCAAGTGGGTTAAAGTCGTGCAATTTTTTAATTTGCCCCCCCTTTAAATTTAAAAATAGATTTTTCTGTGGGGCGTGTGCCCCACGTTGGGAATTACTAGTCTAGAAGTACAATTTTTTAATCTACTACCAGGTTAATTTAATCTACTATCAATAATTGAGTGATCATCAATCCCACAGCATCTTCATCAGATTTTTAAAAGATCAATGTCTATGAATATGCATACAAATCTTAAATTGTAGGCCGAAATTTAGGCAATAAGTCTATTGAAATATCAGGGTAACTCTTTTGCTATAAATTGTCAACTAATTCACCAATAAATAAATGTCAATAAAACAATGATTAAAAAAAATTACCAATAAATGTTGGATTGTAAAAATTTACAAGCGATTGAACGGCTTATATTTTTGCCTTAGATGGCAAAAAATTCATCATATTATTAAAATATTACATTTTTTTGCAGTTCTTATGCTTTTGTATTTATAGAATTGCTTTTTTCGCTACAATCAATTTCCATTATATGAATGTCTTATTTAATTATTTATTTTATTCGACTAACGCCCGCTATGTCCGAAACAAGCCCAACTTATATTCGAAATAATCGGGC